GGTCTTTTGTCTAGAAGATCGATCATGTTTTTCTTCCTTTTATTTTAAAAAGCAGAAGTCGAGTCTCATCCAGAGAAACAATGCGAGAATAGAATATATACTCCTATGCATGGATAATTTAGTTCTAAGCTTTTTGAAGAATATATCACGGAGTTAACATTTTGTTTTCCAAGTTTCAAAAAATAAATCTCTTCGACAGCTTTAGCTCGGGCAGTTAAAACAACTAAAACATCAATGTCTTCTGCTACCATAACTTTTGGCAAACTTGAGCCCGTATCCTCAATTGTTGTCTCTACTAGTAATTCGTCAGCTTCTTCTTTTCCTTATTTGCATTTAATGGATGTTTTTTCTGGTTCCTCTATAAGATATGATATAAAAAGCCTTTTATTTTTATAATTACTCAAAAATTGGTCTTGATAACAGCTACTGGCATATCTTTTGTAAACTTAAATTATTTTACAAGTAACCTTTCGTGACCGACGATTCCTTTCTGCAGCCTTATTACTATCTTCATCGTAAGAATTAAAAATAAGAGTAACATTACTACCGAAAATTTTTTTCAAATAGGAAATATATTCCCCAAAGATCCTACTATAATTAGTAGTCTACTTCTTATTAAATATCTATTTTCTTGTACATACATACAAAATCTCTACTCCAAAAATTTTTCTAAAAAAATGTTATTGATTTTTTTACAATAACTCCACTAATTTTAATGATTTTAGGTTCATTCAAAAACGGTTTTGAAGGTAATTTCAAGAACTATAAAGTCGTATTAAATTTATTTTTTTTTAATCCCTTATTTTTTAAAAGATAAAAGGTTTAAGGCCCGGTTACATGGTTTTCGCAGTAAAATTTAGGTTTTAAACCGTTTTTATCTCAGTTATTTTTCATTCTACAATAATATAAAAAGAAAAATATTAAAAAAAACTCAAATTTTGTTCTGTATCATTTTTTAAGTATAATGAGTATATATGGAGTTTTTCTCAAAAGAAAATGAAATTTATGAAAATTTGTAAAATTCTGATTTTTTTAAATCAAATTTTTGTTAAATATGCATACTAAACCGGTCAAATTTTTGAGGTCATTACTTATGCTTAATGGACATGGCGTATGTTTTATTTTTCACTTTTTCCAAAAAAATCAAAAGGGTCCTCTTATTTCACCATAACTTTCTTAATTTTGATGCTATCAACTGTTTCTGAAGCTCATTTTATAGATATTTCTGAGTACAGTGGAACCTCGATTATCCGTCTCTCTATTAACCGTCGCCTCTGTTAACCGTCAAGGTCCATACATAAGTTATGTTGACAACATAAGTAAAAATTTAGTCATCAATTCATTTTGTTTGAGCATTTGCCATAAACCAAACGAAATTCGTTGAAATGTACACGTGAATTTATGTCACCACCGCATTTTTTATGTAAATGATTATTGTTTTTATTTAGGGCTCTGGATTAAATTTCAATTTAAATAGGTAATGGTAAATGTTACTGTGTTTTTAGAGTTTCATTTTTAGAATCGCAAGCCGGAAATAAAAACGCAGAGCACAATAATTAATAATCACTATCTGCGTGTCCACATAATTCAGTTTGATTCAAATTCGAACATTGATTGTGTCACTTAGTCCCATTGAGCCAAAAATATGATGTTCCGAGAACAACAATCAATGATTTAAATAAGAATGCTGAAGGAATTGAAAAATATGCTTAGCAAATGGAATCGTTGGATGGTCCGATAAAACACACAATGAAAAAAAAGTCACAAATGAATCACTCGACACGGCACGACATGACACTCTATATTTGTGGTTCGCTAAAAAATTGAATGGCGATCCTTCATTCAAAGGAAGCAGCGGTTGGTTGGAAAAGTTTAAAAATCGCTACAGTATACGGGAAATACAAATCGAAGGAGAAAAATTTAGCGCCGCAAGTATTGAAGTCGTTGACGAATATAAAAGAAAGTTTCAAGCATGATCGATGAATATGGTTTGGCACGCAATCAAGGATTCAATGCGGATGAAACTGGTTTAAAATACAAAGCATTGCCAACGAAAACACTAGCTGCACTGTCTGAAAAATATAAAACAGGATTTAAAACGCAAAAGCAACGAATCAAAGCAATGATATGTTCAAATGCAAGTGGTGACCATCGCCTTCCTATATTATTGATTGGTACAGCAAAAAAGCACGTACAGCAAAAAAGCACGTTGTTTCAAGGGCATAAATATAAACGCGCTTTCTGTTAACTACTACGCACAACATAATGCATGGATGTCTTAGGAAATTTTCGCTGGCTGGTTCAAAAAGGTGTGTACTGCAAACCAAAATTTGTTTATCTATTTTTCTAACGTTTTGTTTTTATATTGGTCTTTGGATAATACTTGCAAGCAAAAAATTTGCCACCAAAGGCGATTCTTATTTTGGATAATGCACCTGCCCATCCTGAAGCCGGTATGCTGCGAAGTCACGATGAAAATATCACGTACTGTAACAATAAAACACTGAAAACTTTGTTTTCAAACTTCCACAAAATTTATTTTAACTATTATCACTACAGCTGTTTCGCCTGATAGCCTTTCTCAAGTGATCTATTTTTGGCTTGGGTTTACAAATTTATAGTCTCTAATCAAATAGGTTGAGGAGGGGAGAACTGTTTGTCTCAAGTTGGTCATTCAGAATTATATCTGTGTTTTTTAATTTGTTGATTTCCATAGATTCTAACAAAGATAGCTTACGGCCTTTATTTTGAATGTGAAGAATTTTAAATTTGTCATTAAAAGAATGATTATAATCTAGAAGGTTCTTCACATTCAAAATAAAGGCCTTAAGCTATCTTTGTTAGAATCTATGGAAATCAACAAATTAAAAAACACAGATATAATTCTGAATGACCAACTTGAGACAAACAGTTCTCCCCTCCTCAACCTATTTTATTAGAGACTATAAATTTGTAAACCCAAGCCAAAAATAGATCACTTGATAAAGGCTATCAGCCGAAACAGCTGTAGTGATAATAGTTAAAATAAATTTTGTGGAAGTTTGAAAACAAAGTTTTCAGTATTTTATTGTTACATAAAATGAATTTCCATCAAGTAACGGTCGAATCCATCAAATATCACGTACTCTTTTCTGTCTGCGAATACAACATCATTGATATAGCCAATGGATCAATCGGTCAATAAAACAGTCAAAAGAAGATAGAGAAAAAAATTTGTTCAAAACTTAGATATGGAAGAGGAATATTCTTTGCCAGAATACCGGAAAGCATACAATTTAAAACACGTAGTCGATAATGCTGTGGATGCTTGGGCTGATGTTTCGGAAGTAACGCTGAAAAGAGCGTAGACTAAATTATGACCTGAATTAACTCAAGATAAAAATGCCCCCGTGACAGCCAAACGTGATGCATTAACAAATGAAGTTATGGCTGAATCAAGTGTTTTGTTTTCGTTGCCTGAAGATGACATAAACGAATGGTTAATTTGTGCTGAGGACGCAAACAGCTATCGATTGCTGACGGATGATGAAATTGTCGAAATGGAAACAGGCGGACGAAACTGATTCAGAAGCTGACAGAAACTTTGATGGTGACGATGTTGATAATGCTACTGCAACTCACAAAGATTTGTGTAAAGAAGCTAGAAAAGGTGCATCGCACATACAACAATTCATCAAGTGGTATTCTCGACAACAAGAAGCAAATAAGGTAGATTTGATTATTTTACGTCGATTAAGAAATTCAGCCGTTGCAAAATGTGAAGTAACAATAAAACAAACAAAGATTTCGGAATATCTTAAATCAAATTGATTCGACTGTACTAACATAAATCCCTCTTATATTGTCAAATAAAATTTGAGAGTTATACTATAACTTTTTTTTAATGTTCTGTTAACCGTCTTTTCGATTATCCGTCATACCTTTGGTCCGGTGCCCTGACGGATAATTGAGGTTCCACTGTACTTTGAAAATTGTTCCATAAGTATATTTTATAAAATGCATTGTTTTCCTATTATTTAAGGTTGAATATTTAGATTTGAGTACTCGCCGAAAAAAAAAAAAATACATTTAATTACCTATAACTCACTTTAAATTAATATTAAAATATTTTTCAAGCAATAAGTTTATTCAATTTTTTATTATCTTCAATTTTGGTAATGACAACTTTTTTATAAAAACTTATAGTTTTTGAGTTACTTATGAAAAACCTCTTTAAAACATGCATTTTTTTCACGAAAAATTAAAATTTTTGATCTGCAATAACTCGAAAAGTATTGATTTATTTTAATAACTTTATTAAATAAATTTTGTTTAGATTTAGTCCCTCTACGGTTCCTGGGGTTATTTTTAATAAAATAATTTCCACCCAAAAATAAATATATATATATATATATACAAATATATATATATATATATATATATATATATATATATATATATATATATATATATATATATATATATATATATATATATCAAATTAAATTTAAATCAACTGTGTTAAGCTAGGTTTTATTAACAGTTTAATTGCTATATGTACACCAAAGCGATATTTTCTCCTGATTAAATGCAAATTTCATAAATGTTGTAATTGGAGTTGTGACATTATCAGTAAAATGACAGCGAAAAAATGTGTTTATAAACTATGCTATTTTATCAATTATTTAAAGATTTTTGCCACTTAATGTCTACTCAAGACTGGTATATTTTGATTGATGAACTTTATCTTGATATCGAACTAGATAGATGTATGGTACTAGATAGAAAAAAACATTGAAAAAAATTAGTTAACGTAATAATGATTTTTATTTATTTTTCACATTTCAAAACTATCTCACAAACATCTACTAACAGATATTCGTTTCATATATAATTTTGGTTCTAGAAATTATCGTATGCAACATGTTGCGCTTATCGTACTTACAGTTTCGATTATAAATCTCCATAAACTTATTTCTAAAATACATATTACATATAAAAAAAATCCCTTTCTTTTACAGGATGTCCGCCATGACGGAATTCGCTCTAATCAACTTCAAAGGATTCAAATTTTTAATAACCAAAAATCCATCCAACAATAACTTGGAAGCATTCATCAAGGAGCTCAAGAAAAACAATGTAAAGATCGTCATTAGAGTGTGTGAGCCGACTTACGACACTGAAGCTTTGAAAGGAGCTGGCATACAAGTTGTTAATTTAACCATTCCAGACGGAACCTGCCCTTCTGATTCCATAGTTCAGGAATTTTTCCATGTTTGCAAAAGACAGTTTTGTATTAATCCGGAGTCGTGTATAGCAGTTCATTGTGTTGGAGGTGAGTTAGTCATATATATATTTACTATCTACGATATTTGCTAAAAAGTCTATTATAATCATCAATGGTTAGGCAAGCTTGGAAGGTGATAAAGTCTCTCCGGAGGGAAGGAAAAATCTAACTTACAGTTAATAGATCCGAAATAGTGGAAACACCATTACGAAGTTTTACTGACAGAGTATAAATGTAAATTCCAAGAGATCGAAATGGAAGAAATATCCGAACACACACAAATAATTGAGATAACTACCGGAGAGTTAAACGATGCCCTCAAAAGATCGAAAAGCGGTAAAGCAACAGGACCTGGAGACATCCCAATTGAGTTGGTAAAGTATGGACCAAAAATATTACATGAGATATTGGTTCAACTATTTAACAAATGCTTAAAGGGACAAAATATCTCTGATGATTGGAATATTGGATACATCAGCTCAATATTCAGAAAAGGGGATAAACGCAAATGCTTTAATTATAGGGGAATAACTGTTATCAGCTCAGTGGGGAGGTTGACGGTCGAATAATAATAATAAAAAAGAATAGAATCAGAATACGAAAAAGTAGAAGAATAAAATGGATTTCGTGCGGAAGATCGTTCGCTGATGGTATATTCGTTCTAAAGCAGGTAATCGAAAAACGGAAGGCAAACAATCTATCTACCCACCTATTGTTTGTAGATTTAGAGAAGGCATACGATACGGTACCTTTGAAAAAACTGTCCCTCATGGATAGCGACGAACATCTTCTGGTGCTGGTGTCAAATGTCAAATGCCTTGGCGTAGTCAATAAAACAAATATAGAGGTCATAACTGACATCGCGGCATCTCTGAAGTAGGGCTTATAAGGTGAACAGTGCTTCACATGTACCCGTGGAATTGCGGAATCCAAATTACATTTCACCAAAATTTTCTTCGCATTTCTTGTAAATTCTGGCATGTATTATTTTAAGAAAAGTCTTAAGTGCATGACTAATAAGTTTGATAGTTCTGAAATCTTCAAACGTTTTCGCAGATGGTTTTTTTTTGGTAGTGCTACAAATGTTGACAATAGCCATTCCTCTGAGATATTACCTGAATCGTATATGGCGTTAAACAGTTTAGTTAACTCCTTTGTGCTCACTTCACTCGTTCACTCATCACCTTAATAAGTTCAATGGGTATTTCTTCCAGGCCTGTGGCCCTACCATTCATAGACTGTTTTAAAGCTGCTTTCACGTTGTTTTCTAGTATTGACGGTCCTGTCATGCAATATATTTCTGGAAGGTTACCTCGATAGTCCCAGAAAAGTTCCAAGTTTCCCATTTTCCAGGTCACCAACTTCTCCTTAACTGTCATCGCCAGGTTCCCATCTTTGTTTATAAGCAGGTGTGTGTTTCTCCTCTTGTATTGACCAATGGCTTCCCGAATCTTTTGGTGGATATTTATATGATCGTGTTTCACTTAGAGCTCTTCGATTAGTTTACATTTTTCTTGCATCCATATCTCCTTGGCTCTTCGTATATATTTTTTAATTTTTTGGTTTTTTTAATTTTTTGGTTGATTTCATGGTATTACTTTGCGCCCTGTTTTTCATTATCTTCTTTGGTCCATCACCTGCAGAATGTCATCAGTTATCCATTCTTTATTTTTTACTCTTGTTTTCTTTTCCAGATGTTCTTTTTCCAAATTTTGCATGACGTCTTTAATATAACTCTCTGATGAACTCTTTGTTCTACACTCTCTTCTTGTGGTTTAGCGGTTTCTAGTTTTTCTCTCATTACATTTCTTACGTTCTGACGAACTAAGGGGTCTGCTTTGCTATCGGATCAATATTAAGATTATCATTATCATTTCATTGACGACTTCATCGTTATCACACACACACACACACACACACACACACACACACACACACACACACACACACGCGCGCGTGCAATCCAGCGCCAAGAGACATGTGTGTTAAAAATGAAACAGTGGGACACACATGTCCCGAAGATCAAACCGGTCACGATTCGTAAGGACGTGGTACCTATCTGACCCCCACGGATATGCCACTACCTCTTTCTATCGCAGAACATAACAAATGGGGAGAATTTGAACCGAAGGTTACTTTAGATGCCCTGGGTAATGGGATATCCTCTGTTTTAGGGGTAGCTAGGAGAGCTTGTCTCACTATGAATGACTGAAGTTTGAAGTTTGAATTGAATACTTTTGCATATTTCTTTGGGTTCCAAAATTGAAATTCTCAATAAACTTCAGCTTGTTTGAATGATTTTTTAGAGTTTCTGTGACATTTTCGTATAAATAAATTAAATCATCTAATTTTGTATTTGGTATATATTATCTTTAAACGTTTTTTTTCTTTTTCAGGACTGGGAAGAGCTCCAGTAATGGTGGCCATAGCTTTAATGGAGCTAGGATATACTTACGAAGATGCTGTACAACTGATTCGACAAAAGAGGAGAGGCGCGATCAACGCCAAGCAACTGGAATTCCTATCAAAGTACAAACCAAAGTCGCGACTGGGCAACGATAAAAAGAAATGTGTGATTCAGTGACGTAGCAAAACGAAGAGTATCTGCCTTGTTCGAAAGTTTTCGTGGAGTCTTCCTGTTTACTGATTTTGATATCTAGGTGCTAGATTATGCAAATGGTTTATAAAATATATTCTGTCTTTCGGATTGTTTAGATTGTTTTGTCCAGATAGTTGAAGGATACTGAGTGAAAAATAAAATGTTAGATGCCTTACTAGGTAGCGCAAATTAAATTCCCTCTGGTCATAATTACCACATTAATAAAACTTTGTATTGATTTTAAAATAAATTTGTTTTAAAATTATGTACGTCTTTAACAAAAAGATGGTTTATATCAATGAGATGATAATATGTAAAATATCACATTTAAGGTTATTTTATTAAGAACACTACAAATCTTTCTTGAAATCGTGTCCTTGTCTGTCTATCTGTCTATGCAATAGTACTTACAAGGAATAGTACTCTAATCTTAAAACTTGGTGTATATGTTCTTGTTAGTCCGAGAAATAGCCCTATTGAATTAGTCACTAATTAGTGACTAACTAATATAACTACGTGTTAACGTAGTTATATTAATTAAAAAAATTAACTTTTTTTCGTGTTACGTTCAAGATATTTGTCTGGTGCTTTAATACTCCGTTATATCGGTTTATCAGTTAACCCTCCGTTCATCGGGTGACCATTCTGAAACACTTTAGGTCGGGTGTGGTCTGTGAGGACCAAAATGAAATACCGCCTCCCGAGCAACAGTATACATTTTATTGCTAATTTCGCATCAACGTGTTTTAAACAAATCATTTACCATTTAATGTTTATTACAGAAACAATTCCAAAATTTTTTTAAGTTGTATTAAGTAAAATGAAAAAAAAACAAAAAATATTTAAAACTTTAATTAGAAACAAACAAAGTACTACAAAAACATGTATAAACTAAAAAATTAAATTGTGGACACAAACTACAGTGGTCAAACTTTGGTGGTCAAATTTTCTAAGCAATCTTTGCAGCATGCTATTATGTGGACATAATAAATCAAAAAAAGCAAGTTTTGCGTCTTTTGCAATATTTACAATTTCCTCTCTTACCTGACTGGGGCTCTGGTACAACGACGACCTCAATGCCTGAGAGTCTCAAGGCCGAAGCACGCAGAGCTTTTGTCAAATGCGTGTCAACTGCTCTCCGTCGTATACTCTCCTGTACCAATTCCATACCTAGGTTTTTTTGGAATAATCTTCGCGTTTTGAAAAATTCTCTGTCTGGGTTGTTGCTTTTGTAAATTACAAATGCATTAATTGCTACAAGATTAAGGAGATTATAAACTACTATTATTGGCCAACGTTTCGTATTTCTGCAAACGTTATATGATGTGATCATTCTGTCGACAACATCTACTCCACTCTTGGTGGAATTATAAACAGTAATTATTTCTGGTTTTTTTCTGATCACCAGTATCTTCATCAATCCGATCATCTCTGTGCTCAGTGGAAACAGCAATCACATTTTTTCCTTTCTTCGGTATATATAATACGGCAGTCAGTGAACTGACGTATTTTCTCGGAACAACCGAATAATCCAGTTCGTAAAAATGCACAGGACTGCCAAGTGAAACAAGATTACAAGAAAAATACAACTAAGAAGCAGCGCAAATATTGTTACACATTTGATCGGGTGGGGTCTGTCAGGACAAACTACCATGCAGCAGCTATTTAGAAATTTTAAAAACAGTTTTTTAATAAAAAACTAATGGTATTTAGTTTCTAGGAAGGTACTGAAGAGGTAGAAAGTAAAAAATAAAATGAGAGAATTATCCAAAATTTTTATTTTGTCGGACACTCACAGACGACACCCAATGAACGGAGGGTTAATGGAATCAGAGTTGTTAACCTCATTGTTAAAAGTAACGCTTGCGACGAGAAAGATCTTACAGTAGAAGCCGGTACTAAGGTTGAAAAAAGGCCCAGAACTAGATGGTTAGATGACGTGGAAGATGACCTGAAAACCATAAATAAGACAATGGAAGAGAAGGGTCCAAGAGAGATGTGAATGGAAGGACATAGCCACACAGGCGAGGACCCCTTACCTGTGTGGCCATAACCCCTTCATGGTTATGATACTGAAAAAAGAAGAAGAACGCTTTCGTTTTGTGGATTTTTTATTTTAATATTAAAATGTACTTTAACAGCTAACTGGTAGAAAATGCTCCATTTCCTTTGCTAAAAAAGTTGTGCCAAAAATTGTCAAAATATTAAAATATCGTAGCAGATTCCTAGATCTGACCATGGACGTCTGACCTGCAAACTACTTACTCAACAAAGAGATGCCCGAGGGTGCAAACTACAAGTGGCCAGTATGGAGACCACTGAACTAAATAAGAACCGAGGTGGCATCAGTGAAAACCTGTCAAATATAATGCTACCTTAGACACGAACTAGGTAATAAATGAGAAAGTGGTGCGATGTAGAACATGAAACATATCGTCCGAATAATGCAATAGTGTCTTAACAAAAAATTCATTAATCATTTCCTATTGCAGGTGACAAAAATTAATGCATATTGTGTTTCTAATTAATATTTAAGGTTACTTTGTACTCTAGGTTCAATAAAAATAGTGACAGTGAAGTTCTTTAAGAATTTTGAGTTAAAACTGTATTCTTTTAAGCAAAATTTTCGAAACGAAATATACTGAGGCAAAAATATGCAACGGAGAAAATTTTGGTCATATTCAAGTATTTCAGTTTTTTTTATTTTTACCCCTATTTTAATGATTTTTTTAGCACACTGTGTAAAAATTTATAAATTTTAATTTAGTTTAGTGAGTTTTTTATTAAAATTTTGTATCTGACTTATTAAAAGGGGGTTAATGTAATGGTAGTTTTCCATCATAATTTTGAAATATCCTATGGAATAATTCCGTTTTTCGGTTGCAACCATGTCTTCTAAGTATTATGTTTTTTGTTTTATGTGAAAATATGGATTGGTTCATTTGTAGGAGCGAAATAACTTTGCTACCCATAATTTACGACTTTTCCTATTATCACCAGTATCCTTTCTATAAATTTGTAATACGACTATTACCACCCTAATAATTTTTCACCACCAAACCAACCTTAAGGGGAGTGATTCTGCTGGCTTAAAATTCAAGCTAGCAGAATTCGGAAAAAAACTTTTTGCTTATGACATATTTTTCACCCAATTTTCACTAATTTATTATCCACCCTAATAATTTGTCACCACCAAACCACCCTTAATGGGAGCGATTCTGCTGGCTTAAGGTTCAAGCTAACAGAATTAAGAAAAAAACTTTTTGCCGATGGTATATTTTTTACACATTTTTCACTAATTTATTACCACCCTTATAATTTTTCATCGCCAAACCACCCTTAAGGGGAACGATTTTGCTAGTTTACGGTTTAAAACTAGTAGAATTGCAAAAATAATGTTAATAATATACCACAGTGCTCTGCTGGGTCTTTATGAATTTATTACGACACTAGTTATTATTCACCCCTCAACTACTCCCTATGAGAAGTCAATAATTCTGTTGGGTTAATATTTAAGGTTGGGTCAAAAATTCAAGCCTCTATTATCCAATAACTCATTAAATTTGGAAATCCGTGAAAAGTTTACAAGATGTTACGTGTGGTCTGTACTTTTGTATGGATGTGAAACTTAGACTTTAAACGCCGATATCATGAATAAAATCGAGGCGTTTGAGATGTGGTTGTATCGAAGGATACTAAAAATTCCATGGACTAGCAGAACCAGAAACGAAGAAGTTCTTCGAAAAATTGGACATCAACGAACTCTATTAAATATTATTAAGAGGCTTGAACTAGAATATCTTGAACATATAATCAGAGGACCAAGATATGAGTTCCTTCGGCTAATTCTCAACGGTAAAATCGAAGGAAAGAAATGGATAGGACGGAAGAAACTCTCTTGGTTGAGGAATTTGCGGCAGTGGACAGGTTTGACAGCGGACCAATTGCTACACGTAGCCCAAGACCGAGATCAGTATAATAATATTATAAGCATGGTAGTCGCCGACGTTCCGTAGGGATATGGCACTCTAAGAAGAAGAATATTTAAGGTGATAAACAATCTATTTTTACAATTTTACTGGTCTCTCCTTGTAACTGAAAGTATAAATTGCTTGGCAGTTTTTTACTGAATTTTATCCACCCTCATAATTTTTTACCCCCTAAGCCACAGTTAATGGGAAACATTGAACAAGCTACACATTCACGCTAGCTAAATGCGAAATCTTTTTGGAAATACAAAAGTGCTCTACTAGATTTTTTCTATATTTTTACCAGCCTAGTCATTGTTTTCTCAACTACCCTAATTAGAAACATTCTGAAATGTTACTCTGTTCTAACTAATATTTATTTTTTAAATGTTTAAATATTGAAAATATGAAAATACTTTATTACAAAAATTATAAATTTTAACTGTTTTAAAAAATTGACTCCGAATATAGTAGTGAGTTCATGGCTAAGGGAGAGCGCCCACCAAACTGGCGTGGCACGTGGCAAGTAGCAAGTAGCACGAATCTACATTATAATACATAAAATGTAACCAATACAAACGAATGATTAGATCGAATGACGTCACTGTCATTTTGGTTTACGCTGAATTATTCGTTTTCATTGGTTACATTTTAAGTAACATGCTAGACGCGTGCTACTTGCTACTTGCCACGTGCCACGCCAGTTTGGTGGGCGCTCTCACTAAGAGAAATCAAATCGTTAGTCCCTTTTATGAATATAAAATAACTGAAATCTAGTTGAATTTTAGTAAATACATTGAAATTGTTATATTTTAAAGAATAATCAACAGGTAAGAAGTATTCAAATTGAAATAATTTTATTATGTCTATTACATTAATTACCTAATTGTAAAGGAGGGTCGGTACACCTTCCGCACCTATTGCTAAAAGATTAAAATATTTGTATTTATTGGGTACATCCATAGACCTGAGCGAATTGTACCTCCAATCAAGGAGTGGCAGCTGCAGTCTTAAGGCTGTTTTATCGGTGCACCAACATTTTTTCTCTGTTATTTACCGACGAAATGTCTCGAAATTTGGACATGTTATACGAAATTATGTTGCCTTTAAACTGATGGTTTTACTTTTTTTATTTTTTTGACTTTTCTGTTGAAAAATTGGATTATACTGTTTAACGTTCTATTATAACCAAACTTTTCACGCCCATCAGTTGAAAGAGTTTTTTTTTCTGTAATCGTTGATTCTTTTTTCACCTTTCTGTGTCCAGTAATAATCGAGAAAAGCGTATTCAAACTTTGAAGAAAATTGCTAAAAAATACTGAAATCTAATAGTGAAACGTGTTCCTCATCATTGTCGCTGAGCTTGATCGTTATCGCATTAGTGACGTCAAATCACATGAGCGTACGGTACGGTCTTATTTTTATTTCTCTATGGGTACGGTCAGTTAGTTCGCTTGAATTAGAATCCATTTTAGTTCTTTCATTCTTGTATTTTCTTTATCAACTTGCTTAGTT